TGAGGATGGAGCAAGCTTGTTTTCTGCTGCTCCAGAGAATAGGACCTAATCAATGGATTCATACTACAGGAAAAGAAATTTAACCTCAACATTAGGAAGAACTTCCTGACAGTAAGAGCTGTTTGACAGTAAAACACACTCCCTCTGAGAGTGGTGGAGTCTCCTTCTTTGGATGTCTTTACACAGAGGCTGGATGGCCATCTGACGGAGGTGATTTGATTGTGAATTTCTGCATGGCAGAATGGGGTTGGACTGGATGGCCTGGAGTCTCTTCCAACTTTATGATTCTATATACACAAGCTGTAAAATCACTCTTCCTTCCTCTTTCACTGCCTTCACCTGAGCACACACTATTGCACAGAATTAGGGCTAGAACCTTAATTAATGTTTTAGCAATTTAAACTGCTTTAAAAATGTATTGTTTTAAGGTCTTTTTAAAAATTGCATGTTATCCATTAGTGAGTGATGTATTTTAACACTATATTAGTTTAATGCCATTTGTAAGCCGCTTTGTGTCCCAATTGTGGGTAAAAAGCAGGCTATAAATAATAAGAGAGCCAATTTGGTATAGTGATTTGAGCATTAGACTATGACTTTGGAAGACCAAGGTTTGATCAGCTCGGTCATGTAAAGTCACTGGGTGCCCTTGGGAAAGTCACACTTTCTCAGACTCAGAGGATGGCAATGGCGAACCCCCTTTGAAGAAACGTGCCAAAGAAAACCCCATGAGAGGTTTGCCTTAGGGTCCTCATAAGTCAGAAATTACTTGAAGTCACACAGCAACAAACAAACAATGATAATGATAATAATGATTATGATGATTTTGGTGGTGAGGATGATAATAATAAACCCAAACCTATGAGGAAATCCACCCCTCCATCCCTGGCTCCAAATTACTACTACTACTAATAATAATCCCAATGCTATGAGGAAACCTGTCCCTCCATCCCTGGCTCCAAAGAATAATAATAATAGTATCATCTTCATCATCATCATCCCAAAGCTATGAGGAACCCTGTCTCTCCATCCCTCGCTCCAAAATAATAATAATAATAATAATCCCAATGCTATGAGGAAACCTGTCACTCTATCTCTGGGACCAAGTTAATAATAATAATAATAATAATAATAATAATAATAATAAT